TTTTTTTTTTTCATTTGCTCATTTTTATGCATTATCAGTTCAAATATATCTGTTTGTTACATTTTAAAATAATATTCAGTCCATTATCTCATTTTTTTACAAAAAAAAAAAAAACAAAATTTTTGGGGAATAAATTTGCTACAAAATTTTTATTTGGATTTAGTTTTTTTTTTTTTTATGAATTCCTGAATTTAAATGGATGAATTTCATCCTAATTGATTCATTCATGCATGTAAATTTCGTCAGCTTTATTATGCAAAATATCGTTTATAAAACAATTTTGATTTTTTATCCTAAAATTATCATAATTCAAACTAAAAACGTCATCAAATGATAAACTCTGTGTAAAACAATTTTGATTTTTATCTTTAAATTACCATAATTCACGCTAAAAACATTATCAAATTATAAACTCTTAATAGTTCGAGTAATAATGAAAAACCACCGATAATCGATTGTTATTTTAAACTGTAGGTTATTCTTGCTGAAATCCTAAACCTTATGATATCATTAAAAAAAAAAAAAGAAAATGTAATGCAGAAAAAAGTAATTGACAAACGGAGCCGGAATTGTGCAAACAACACTTTCATTACCGGAATATTATAATTAATAAATTATAACTGACAAAAATATGCTAATATTTCGCATTCATTCATTTTACATTCTTTATGCATAATTACTACAAGTTGAACCAGTTTCATCCTTCTTTTTTTTTCCGAATAATTGATTAAAAAATAATTGATGATAAAATTTTGTAATGCGTGACGCAGTTTTTCTTTTTTAGTGACAACATAATGATCATATTTTAACGATAATTCCATAATTTTGAAAATTACTCGAAATCTTGTTTGAAACGCTAAATTGAATTATGCATTAATTTGAAATAAATTTTCGTCTTTTTTTTTAAGTTTTATGATTATTCGTTGCATGATTTGTTCCTTCAGCTTACGGCAATATTCTGTAAAAATTTTTGATAGTGATATTGTTGCAACGAATGATTTAACAATTTTAATTGCCAAATTTTGAGGCATGTAAACAATTTTTCTTATTTTTTTTTGCTCAAAAATATGAATGATAGAAATTTTGTTCGGGAATAAATGATGATGAAATCAATTATTTTATTCCGTTTAATCCTGTTTTTGATAAAAATGATCATTAGTGATGGAATTGAATGAAATTTAATTAGAAATCAAATTGTTTAACTAAATAAAGTTGATTAAAAATTGTAGATATTTTTGCTTTCAAATTTGGTAAAAAATTTTTTTCATAAAAAATATTGGTAACTTCAAAATTGAATAATTCGTTCTAAATTTTAATTGCATATTTGGAATTGATTTTTGAACAATTCCTGAAACGGGAAATGTTGAAATAACAATTACCTTTCATTTCTGGAAAAGAAAAAAAAAATGAAAAATAAGGAGAAGAGTAACTTGCAATTTTTTAAAATATTACATCATTAATTATCAGCGGTTTTTTCATTATTATTCGAGCTACTAAGAATTTATCATTTGATAATGGTAATTTTAAGATAAAAAATTAAAATTGTTTTGTGAAAGATATTTTGTACAATAAAGTTGACGAAATTTACATGCATGAATGAAGCAATTAGGTTGAAATTCATTCATTTAAATTCAAGAATTCATCAAAAAACTAAATCCAAATGGAAATTTGTAGCAAATTTATTACCTAAAACATTTTGTTTTTTTTTTTGACATGTCAAAGGTAATTATTATTTTTGACTGGATCAATTTCTTTCCTAAAAAAATCGTTAGAATAATTTTATTCGTTTCAATTCTCACAGTGCCCCATTAATTTTTTTCTTGAATTGAACAATTTTCAAATCAAATTTTCTTCCAGCAGGCATTATTTTAAATAAATGAAATAAGTAAATTTGTCAACTAAAATATGACTTCCGCAGAAGTCAGAAATATTATCAAAATTGATTTTAATATTTATCATGCTTAATTTTTTTTTTTTTTGTTTTTGGATTTGCATGACGAATTTTATTTTTCTACAAACTGGCAACATATCCAATTCCGTTGAATTAATTTTTCCAAGCTCCTTTCATAGTCTCTCTAACTTAAGTTATTACTTAATTGATTGTTTTAATTTCTTGCTTTTTAATTTATTTGAAAAAATCTGATAAAATATTTATTTTATCAAAATATAGCTCACAAAAATATCCCCTAACTTTTTAATATTTTATATCAGGATTTGATATCATCTATTATATTATTATCTTTTTTGATAGAATTTATTGTGCCTGTGGTATTTATCACTATCACTGTGATCAACACATTTATTGATATTATATCAGTAATGAACATTGCATCACATTTATTGAACTTGTCAATATCTCTATCATATTATGCACCACTATTACTGTTATTACTATTTCCGCTATCAGCAGTATTATCACCATAATTTATAAGCTATTAATATTATTGTTGTTATTGCAACAAAAACATTAACAATTATTCTTACTCACTTTTATAATGATAAACCATTGTGTAAAAATTTTTTCTTCTAAATATCATATTACAAAATAAAGAAAAAATTGTTTGAAAAATAAAATTTCAGTTAAATTTACATACCAACAATATCTTTGAGGCATAAAAAATGATAGATGTCTGAGCCATAAACAAATGTCTCTGTTTTTTTTTTCTTCTCATACAAAATTTGCAAAATGACTTCAATTAATTATACTTGTGTTATGATCGATGACTGTAAACTGCATAATTTCTTATCAATTTTTTTTTTCTAAAATAAAAAAAAAAGAACTTTCAATTGCTGCATATACACGTACAGGAAATTATGATAGCACTATTTTTATTCCCTCTTTTTTTTCGCAATAAAATCTTGTGATAAAAACAAAAAATAAAAAGAAAAAGAAAAGAGCAAAGATATTATCATATCATTCGACGGATGCAATAATTGAAGAATGAAATAATTTAACTTTTCTCAGCATTAAAAAGTGATCAAATTTATTGGCAAATGCAAAATATCGGTTTGGATGACGAAAAAAAAAAGAGTAAAAATTCAATCCCAATAAAAAAAAAGGAGTAAATTGAAATAAATAAAAGAATGAAAAATTCCAATGAATGATTAAAAAAAAAAGAAATGAATGATAAAAAAGAAAAAAGAGTGAAAATAATGCCAGTATGCCAATACTGCACGTTAACCAAAACATTTTGTTACAATCTATCAAATTTAAAATAAAAAAAAAAAAAAACAACAACAAAAAACGATAAAATCTAAATTGCTCATCGTCTTCTCTGCCTTCCTCTTCTCATTCATTTTCCACATAATCATAAAGTTATCTCTTACTTCTAAATACTATTTTATAAATCTTTTTTTTTCTTTGTGTGTGTGTGTTTTTTTGTACATTTGATACTACAACTATCAATTTCATAAATACAACCCCAAAAATTAACAGTTCTCTTTTTTTTCGCCTTTCCATTTTTTTTTTTCGGTGAATGATATCTGTCACAAAATGATAGGAAAAAAAGAGCGGAAATTGGAGAAAGTAAGTAAAAAAAAAAGAAGGAAAATGGGTGATAAAAAAAAAAAAAAAACGAAAAAATTAGGATGGCACCTTTGACGAGAAAAATTTTCAACATTATTGTAAAAAGAAAAGCAAATAAACAAATGGGAAAAAAAAAGTGTCATGAGGAGGTGGTGCTATAATGTTTGAGAAAATGGATATAAAAGCAGTGGTCATTCTAATCATTTTACAATCCATCAATAATTGCTAATCAATATATTTCCTTTATCATCAATTTATTTATCGCCAATAATAATACACTTTCAGCAAATTTCAATTGTTGCTACCTGGGAAAACAATATTTGACAGTTATCAATTTGTTTATAGCGCAAATAAACAGTAATTAATTCTATTGTTCGAAATAGTCCCAATATGGTAATTTTCTTCAATTTTTTGTTTTTGTTTCTTTTATCTTTCGTTTTTTTGTGCATTCTATTTCTTCACTTTTTTCTATTAAAGATTATTATTTTTGTATGATAAGTACGGTTTTTTTTGGTTTTAAAGTGGGTTTTTTCTGCTTGTTTTGATGTTTGTCGACATTTGAGAAGTTTCGATTAACAAAAAAGAATAAGAAAAATAAAATTATTCTACAAACTTTTTGAATTTTTTTATGATTTGATAATCGTTTATCAGTTTTCAAAAGGTCAGAAATTATATGATAAGGAAGTTGATGTTATTGGCTTATTAGAGAATTTGCAATTTTATCGCAGTAAGAAATAATTTACTATACTAAAGATATTGACATGAATTTAAGATATCTAATAAATTTAACTTTTTTAAAGACATTGTAAAAAATAAAAATATAAATCTATTAAATAAATCTTTCAAAGAGGTAATCATAAGATATTTATTTATAATTATCTGCATAATTATTAATAAATTCTTTGAAAATTAATAAATAAATTTACATAGTATCAACATTAATATTTATAATCACTTTAAGTCAGTGCGTTATCATTTCACTCCTAATTTTACAGCGGAATTGAAAAGAAAGAATTAAATGAAGAACAAAAGAATGATTATAATCGTAAATTGAATAGCTATTATCGATGCATGAAAGGACGAGAGAATTATATCAAGCAAAAGGTGACACCAATTCAAGCAATTGTCGCATTACGAGATGCTGAATTGGAACTACGATGTTTCAGATGGTAATTGTCCACTTGCTGACCACTGTGCTAAACGTTTGTGGACAGTAAGCTAATATACTCTAAATTTTGAATTTCATAAGCTGATTACCGTAATTTCATCTCATCAAATTAACTCAGAGCTCCAAAATAGACAAGATGAAAATGAGTTATCAGAATAACTTTTAGCAAAGGTTATTTTTTTATCAATTCAGAAATTTGCAAAATAACGATCACTGCTCCATCTCCATTATTATGACATTTTTTTTTTTTGCACTATAGTTTAAGTCCTGAAGAGCAAACGGAAGTAGAAGAAGTTTGGAAGCCGAATGAATCATTTATTGGGAAAAAAATTCGCCAAATTATTGATAAAGTAAAAGAGGTATAAACATAAAATATCACAGAAATATTACTTCCTGTATAAAAAAATTATTTTTTAGACTTTTCTTCAATTTTTTTCCTCTGTATAAATTAATTTTAAACTTTTATTCAAAATGGAAAAACAAAAAGACTGAGAAATGTTAGAAACTGTTATAATAACCATTTATTTTTACAGTTTATCTTATCAGAAGTTGAGCGTGAAGGAAGACAGAGAACGAACGAGTGGGATTATAACTGGGAAAAGGCCAGTTTTGAGGAAGGCATGAATGGTTGGTGGCGAAGTATGGCTGACATTGATCCCACTCTTTCTGTAGCCGAAAAAACCATAAGTCTTATCAAAAAGTAGTCCCATTAATTACTCACATTGGTATAATTTGTATTAGGCTATCACCAGCACTGATAACGACCGTGTACCGCCATAGCTTATAGGATAGATATATGTAATAATTTAACAATTATGCTAAAGGTATATGTGCTAAAGGCATATATCTAAAAGTCACGTGAAATATTATACTGCTGATGTAGTAATTTAATTAGTATAGCTTATTTTGAAAAAAAAAATCCTCGAAATTGACGAAGTATTAGGTTAAAATTTAAATTTTTGCTCCAAAATTGAAGAAAATTTTTTTTTTTTTGTTGATAAGATTTTAATTAAGGTTATTTAAATTGTGTTTTGATTATCATATAAACTTAGGTTTATGAAGCGTCAAGCAAGTGAACCCAAACTTGGTGATCATTTTGAGCTTGTACTACCAAAAGTAAGCCGAAAAGACATGGGTTGGTATCGTTGCATAAGACGTATAAACAATACGGTGAATATAGCTAACATATATTATATCGATGTGATCACTAATTCAACGCCTGAAATTGTTAGCTTATCAATTACTAAATAATTTATTAGTGAAAATTAAATTTTGGAATTGAATTTGATTGATTTTATGTTTAGATTCAAATTCATTTCACATAGGGCATGCATTTTGAAACTTGCGATCAATTCTATTACTTAAATTAATTCATTATTGCAATTCATCTATAATGTGATTTGTTTTTAGATAATAAATAGTTCTGTGAAGAGTAAAATAAAAGCTATGCAGTACGAATTCGCAGATTTGAAATTACAATCGAGTGCATTCGCTACTCCGTGGAGTGAATGCAGCAATTGCGACACAAAGGATGGCGAAAAACGTCGTAAAATTGCTTGTCATTTATCGGTAACAAATATTTCACTTAAAGCATCACATATGAGAGGATCATCTGATTGATTAACCTTTGATCTTTGCTTGAATAATTATACCCAATGATGATACCATCGTTGATGAGAGATGTTTGCAAGAAATTTAGATTGCTCCCGGCATACCTTATGATGCAATTGCAAATTCCACGATATCATATATGCAACTTTTCTCTCACATTCCCTGTCGTAGTTCATTGGTACCAATTCAAATACGCAGTATCTTATGGCCCATTCAAGATATCGTCCATGTTGAAAATTGTTATGTAAGTGGAATTAACCTTTGAACTTCAGATGAATTAAAACAAAAAATGACATTCCAATGATAGATTTCGGTCATAAGTTCTTTTTGCACAGGTTAGTTCATTTATTGATATGATAAAGAAATTGTTGCTGAAAATAGATTTTTTTTTTTAGCATTACCTAAGTTTAGTCATCTATCTATCTTGCAATACATGAGATCATAAAGATTATATCTCAGGTACCATGTACACAAGCAAAAATAGAGCGAACACGTTTAGTTATGAGTAAAAATGAATTTGGTCGAAATATTATTATTGATAAAATTCCACCAGGTGAATATCAATTAAACGAACGATTACCGCCTCTTCGGAAAGCAGTGAAACGAGAAGCTATACAGGTCTTCTAAATGATAAATTATTCATATTTAATCCAAATGTCAATCCAAGCAAGTGAAACGAAAACTTTGATAAATTAAAATCGAATTCTAACAATAGCAATTTTTTAAAGCAGTCTCAATTCAATTATGTAACCTCATCGATAAAATCCACTCAACAAAATTTGTTTTTTTTTTTCAAATAAATTCTACATTTCTATTTAGATTCAATCAAATTGTTTTAACTGTTGTTCAGAATTTTGCAAGGTAAGTATTGTATTATTGCAATTTTCTGAAAGTATTTTTTCAGGCCTTTGAAAATGATCCTTATATTTTATCCTGTCCACAAAAAGAATTTGGCATTTTTTGGGCATTAAATGAAACTTACATCTCATCTACGTCATTGTTGGCACAGTATCCTGATAAAAGGATTTATATCGATGGTGATAATCAGCTTATCATTAACTATCTCAAACTAGAAGATGATGAAAGTTTCTTCAGGTAAAAACAGAACTTATAGAAATCATTGAAAGGATGATGGAAAATAAGGCCAGAACTGGTTATTACATCAAACTCATATGCTCAAATTATTCATTTCTCCAAGTAACCTTAAAACACAATCGATTAGTGGAATGAATAATCAAATATACCAAATTAATTACTTCTTGTACATCTAACTTTAAGAATCTGTAAAAAAAATATAATCCCTATAGCAGATTCTTATCATTTTTGTTTTTTGCAGCTGTCATCGAGCATATGATGGCGATGTCCTAAGAACATTTAGCCTCATTGTTAATAAAGGCAAACAACGCCAGGAAATTGTTGAGTACATTAATTTTGGTATCAGGTCTGTACAGAATTCAATTTGCTGCAATAAATTTTCTTTTAAATTTTAAGATTACCGATTAAATTTCCCATAATTAAGATATGAAAATGATGTATTCCCAGACGGTAGCATTATTTTCATGCTATCATTTCATTTAAGATTATCATAAATGTAATTCTTTTTGAGTAAAAAAAAAAAATGAATGTTATCATGTTCGACTCCAACTACTTCATTTCTTATTTCAAATTTTCAGGTACAGTGCATTTTTACTCATATTATTAATGGTGCTATCTATTACTTTAAATGTAAATGTCCAATCAGAAAAGTATCGACGTGAAGTTGCAATCAAACGGCATATCAATGAACAGATAAACAAGCAGAACAATACAAACTCTGAATAACAGAGATATAATTGTGGTTGAAATTTTAAATTTTATTTAACTCTTACAAATTCATAATTAAAACACCTTAATCGCATGTTCCGAAATTTCATTTCTCAGTTTTAAATCAAGAAATGGAGATCTGATAATTACTATTTGACCACATACAGCGCAATCTTTATCGCATAACATGATTCGTAAATAAATTAAACGGAAATATGTTGCGATTGAAGTGATAAAAATTTTTTTTTTTATATTTCTTTTCTGCGACTTTGTTTGTTTTTACAAGTACGAAAAGAAATAAATAGCTTATTCCGCATTTTTGGCACATCCTGTATGTAAATTTCGTGATATGCAGTAGAAATATGCTTCGTTAAATTATAGGATAAATTTCGAAATGCTTGTAAATTAAATGAAAACGTTATTGATCTGTGCAAATTTACATAGCAAAATTGATGACATAAAAAAAAATGAGAATTGCGTTCACTGCATTATCGGTGTTCTTTCATTTGATTACTATCAGCGGATCGCTTTCTCGTGAGATATTGCTTTACATATCGTACGCCACTCGTGAGTTTCATAGTGCAAAGCGTAATTGTTGAATCGTTTGCACGTACTAGCAAATGAAGCGGTTCTGATAAATGCTCCCAACCTGCATAATTCTTCAGACGAGATTCCAGGCGGTGGTCCTGAATATCATTCATAATATTGTTAATTAATTTGTTGTTGTTGAATCTAATCAAGTTATTGAACTGGGAATCATATTCAGGTAATCTTAATTAGGTATTATAGAAATATAATTCAGATAAGGAACCGATAAAAAGATAAAGGAATAATCGCAGTCATCAATTATTGTTAAAATAAAAGACATTAAACCAAATGACGACAAATTTCTCCTTCTCTCATCCAATGTCGTTCCAATTCGGCAAGAAAAAAAAAACCTTGACCTCAGAGAATTAGTTAACTTCTAATTATTACTCACCAATAGTGATCCTTTTCCACGTATCAGAATCTGACAATTTGTTTCGTTTTCTAAGTGTTTTAATAAATCATAGTGTAAGTTTTTTGCTTTTTGTGCATACTCAACACTTTGCTCTTTTGATAATGCAATCTTTTCTTGCAGTGTTACGTTGGCTTCTTCCAGTGTTTGTGATTGCCATTCCTGCAATATTGTCATAATAATTTACTAATTAACAGCAAAAATTGGATCTCTCTTCGTTTCTGATTGAAAAATTTGATCTAATTTAATATAAGTTAATAAAAGGAGTGAAATTTCTCAAAACATTTAGCCATAATTGATAAAGAAAAATTGAAGTCATAGAATTAAGCATAAGATTAAATTGAAAATGAGAGGTCATCTCTCTTCACTTAAATGACATTATGATTGATTTGTGTTTCACTAACAATTAAGATGAAACCTGATTAAGCCAAGAGTAGTAGTAAGCTACACTAAAAATTAATGAAAGAACAAAAAAAGAAAGTATTGAAATGTGACGAAATAATTCAAACAAGAATAGTGACAAATTCCAGCGTTATTTCATTTCATTCAGTTTGTAAAAATATTTAAAAAATAACATTTCTGAAGGAATTCATCTGATCTGCGATTTCTATGCTGCGCAGTAAATTCCACACTTTGTTTAATTCAGTGGTAAGCAGAATATGTACATGCATCAGTAATCTTGGATATTCCATTCCAATTTCATTTAGTTCTTGCAATTCCATAATAAGTTCATTCAGATATCTGAAACTCATCCAAAAGTTTACATTCTGAAAACCTTTCGAATGGCTTAGAATGAATGATATGAGCACTCATTTATTTTCGTATTTTTCTCTTTATAATAAATCATCTTTAAAAATTCGGGAATGAAATTTTACAAAACATTGAAATTCAATGATACTTATTTATTGAAAAATGACTTGCACGAAAAAACAGAAAATGCCATGAGAATTCAGGAAATGGATAGCGTACCGTGCAGTATTAGTTTGTTCGAATGATTTCAAATCATTCAACGGTCGATAATTGCAATTGTTAGAGAAATAGTCAATTTGGTCGATGTTTTCTTCGGAATTATTCTCCACCAGCCAAAATGAATCCATTCGACCATATATCAGATTGATTAACAATACAATGAAACATTAGTTACCAATTCATCAATTTATACATTTACACATTTTTAACCTTTTTTAAAAATGAATAAATTATGGTTGGATCTTACAACGAAAGTTTGAGATGCGGTATCATGCAAGTTATTGGTACGTGACCCATTTGCAAGTGATTTTTGTGTGCGTTACCGAAATAACGATTGATGTATGTGTGAGTGGAGGGGTGAGAGAGGATGGGTTAGAGATAGTGTAATTGTTTGGTTAGAGGTTAAGAGTAACAGTGATAATATGATAGTATGAGAGAAGCGAGAAGTTTGACAAAAAAAAATTTTACATAATAACGGTGATGTGTGGTATGAGAATTTGAGATATGAGGAATATATGAGTGGAATATATAGGATTGGAATTTGAGATGAGTAAGAGTAATTGAGAGAATGTATGAGATAGTACGAGCTATAAAAGTTCAAGAAGTAGTAACAGATTGTTAGAAAGCGGATAGAGATTTGTATTATATGATATGTGGCGTTGAATTGGTTATTTTTCTTCATATCACGTGGATTGATTATTTCAAGATAAGGTATAAATTACTTGAAAGTTAACGTAAAAAATAATTTTTTTACTTCATATTTTTTTTGCTTCATAAAAATTACTTATGAAGTAATTTTTTTTTTTTTTGCTCGTGATGTATTGAAATTTCTTAACGGATTACTTTAACTGATTAACATCATGAACGTCAAGAAATGTTTATTTTTTATTGTCCAAAAATCAATTTTTAAAATGTTTTTTTTTTTTTTTTTTGTTATGGGATAGGAATTTTTAATATGAAAAATATGAATATATTATAAGGTTAAAAAAATACCCTATAGTTATTAGTTAAAGAATAACTAATGAAGGATAGGATGTAAAGATTTTTCATCAATCTTTCCGTATCATTCTTATCTATTCGGTATCAGTCATATCCTGGAAGATATATTACAATCCCATTTTGTTTACAATGTTTCCTTTTCAGCGCTGATTTTCAATTCATTTGATGGCATTAACTATGGTCATAAAAAACCGGATATCGATTTCAGTTGAAAGAAACCGTATATCAATTATACCTGACGATAAAAAATCCGACATATGACTGGAAGGAACCGGTTATTATCAGCTGGCAAAGTCCTCGATGGAGGAAATGCAATTGACGTCAATGTTGTAGAACAAGAAAGCTCTTCCACAGAAGTATCTGCAAATAGGTCGCTGAAAAGGTCTGGCCACGTTTTACAGTTTTCTTGCAATGAGTGTTTTTTTTTTTTTAATATTTACAGATAATGATTAACTCGAATTAATTTCCCTTAAAATTGACTGATTAACATTTACATTTTAATAGTTTTTCTATCTTTTAATAATTTTGACAATATTTTGTGATATTATTTCAGTGAGGAGTATAAATTAATGTTTTTTATTTGCAGCTTTCCTAGTTCTATATCATCAGATTTTTCGATTGAGACAGGAACGACATTGAATATGTCGTCGATTGCAATCGCAGAGAAAGATGATCCAGGAAAATTCCGAATTTATCGTCCTATAAGTTGTGGACAGTCAGAATCATTGATATATTACCGCTGTTCAAAGTGCGAGTCACTTGAAAAGAAAAATTCTGGTAGTTAGATTTGTTATAAATCACTGTAACAGAAGAGCGAACTAAAGATATTATTAACCTAAAAGTTTTTAAAGAATCTATAGGCATCATTAACTAGATCAATTAGAGAAACATTAATTAGAAGTTCTTGTGCAGAAATTTTTTTGTTTACTATTTAACTCTTATTATCCAACTATTTTCATTACCTTATTTGACTAAGTGTTGCTTCTCTCGCTTCATTAATATCAATTAAAGGTGGTGTCAGATCAAAGCGTTACAAGCCATATGTAAAAACACTGGATGGAAAATTGATTGGAAATGCTCATCCAGAGCATCATCCCAACTGTCACGCAGTAACTAAAAAAATCCAGGAATTGCAAGAAATGGATCGTGCTTGCCGAGCGAAGATTAGAGCCAGTCATCTGTCATCCAGACCTCCACAAAAACTCGTTAGTTGTTCTATTGTCTATTTGAATCTATTTGCTTTCAATCCAATCTTTAACCGGAAATTTATATTAATAGAAATTCCTAGTAGCATTTAATAAAGAACAAAGTCATTTGGAATGTTGAATTATATTCGGGAAGAGCGAAAAGTTTTTATTCTACTATCGTTAGGATCAACAAGAAAAGTACATTTTGGATATAAACTAAGCCTTATTACTTCTGTCAGGTAAATACTCATAGTAGTTCGTCGAAGTTTCATCTTCTTTCTCTTCATGTATTCTGCTTGTATTGTCTCGCAAACTTATTATCCAATATTTTTCCTTTACTCATGATCTAATCGAGACGTGGAATTTAGACGTAACAACAGTATTTTTTTTTCCTTTTTAATGAAAAGCTTAGCAACTATTTATAACTTAGTGTTCTCAGTCGACATATTTAGGAGGAACATATAGTTGAGCAAAGTTCAAACATCTGTGTACAATCCAACTACAATTTGCGTAAGAGACCAAAACGATCAAGTATTAACTTCCATGCTCTGAATCGTAATATAAATGGAAGTGAACGATCAGAGGTTGATCAATTATTAAGGTATGTTTTGAAGAAATAAATTGAATGCTATTACTTTAAACGTTGACTAAATGTTATCTTTCAGACTTGAATTAAGAAATGTGGGTTAATTTGTATGATTTTTTAGATTTATAATCGAAACTTGTATCGGTGATATTGCAGAAACAAATTACACGAGGTAAGTAGATAATTGTAATAATTTCATACAACTTTATATAACTTGGATATGTACTTTGGTACTTTTTTGTTCCTTATGAAAAATTCCAAAACTTGGTTTCTCTTTCATCTAATTTTTTCTCAAACTTCAGTATTTATTCCATCGATACTTCACTATCCAATAGTATTGGTTATTCTTCGCTGATTGTACCGGAACCTGATGGAATGTTAGTACGAATTTATGATGGGGATGGCAAATTAGCTGATGAGAATGTATCATACTACTATTGTTCCCGATGTGATGATTTATATCAAAAAAGAGATAACGGTATGTCAAGAAAGCCTATTTGCACATATTTATTTGCATATTTGCATATATTTATTTAGAATTCTGGAGGTCCTTATTGAGCTTTTTTGATTCGTTTCTAAGTTTTATTCAATAAACACTCTGTCCAGTTCCCTTCGGTCAATATTTGAAAAAAGAAATCACTGCTTGAAAAAAAAATTTAGATATTTAGATCATTTATAGTTTTATGTTTTTAGACTCCGTGCGAACTGTATTGAAAGCAGAAAATGACTTAGTAGTTGATTATCCAGCGCATCATGCGGAATGCCTGCCAACATCATTGGAATCATTGAGAGAGCTGGGCGACCATTTAAAGGATTTCTGTGTCGTAGCAAATCATAGGATTATTCCTCTAAAAGCAGTGCTTGTTCGTTTCATTTGTGTTGATGCATCATTATGATTAAATTAATGAAAACTTAAAGATTTCATTTTATAATAATCAGTTCATACTTATGACTTTAGAATTTCCACAGTTTAAAAAGTGCAAAGTTAATAGAATTCTCCAGTTAAATGGGAGGGGTAAATCTTATCGATATATTTTAATATATCTTTGCGGAACACGATATTTTTGTTATACCATATTTTATAAATTATTAAAGAATTTAAACATATATATTGATATCAAATTTTTTTAATTTTTTTACTGTGAAGAACATAAATAAGAATTTAATTCGTCTGATATACTAGAAAAGTTTTTTAAGGAATCTGAATGCAATAAGTTTCACGAGCCTGATGAAAGCTTTCATACTCGTGCATCGGATCAACAGAACTGGGATACAACAGATATGGATGAGGGGATGTTAGTGCTAGTAAATACTTAGCAATCATCTTTTCTTATGATTTTAATGCAACTGAAATTGTTTTAAAAGTTTTAGTTTGTACTACTTTTTGAAGTATTTCCTTTCTATAAGGGCATGATAGTTCATAACTTAATATTATTTGTTTTTTTCCAGCCTCATCAATTCTACATCAGTTTCGAAACCTCAGGAACAACGATGCTTTTGCAGACGTCTTTATGAAGGAAATGTAGAATTATATCAGGAAATGTTGAGAAGTGTGGATGAAATGAGATCACTGGTCAGCGAAATGAAGCGTATTTCTGGTGTAGATGTTCAATATTATATCGAGGATGGTCAAGCTTTAGAAGAAAGTGAGAATAGTACACTCTACGTCGTAGATGAATAGTTTATTTTTCGTTAATAGCTTTTACAAATTATTTATAAGGATGCACTACCAAAGCATTTTGCATTGTGAATTACTCATGCATTATAGATTTGACATCGAATTGATTGCTCATTGTTGTTGTCGCCATCATCCACTTTTCAAAAAAGAACAGTTTTATTGTTTGCACTATCCCCCCATTACAAGCTTGTGACATTTATAGAGGGAGGAAGTCGAATTTACTATTATCTATAAGTCAACGAAGAAACATTGTGGAAAATAAGTTATATAATCTATTAATGTCTGCTGTGGTTGCACCTATAATTTTTATTTATCCTTGTAATATATTTTACTTATCAATAATTAGATTGATAGTGATGGGCTTGGAAAACATAAAACTCAGATATAGAAATGTTGGTCTTTTTCGACATTACTGTTAAATTTGTTACATCACTGCTCCTTCTTATATTTTACAGACGTTTTGTTATGTTTTTTTTTTTCATTGTCAGTCATGCAAACTTATCAAGATCATTCCATATACGTTCCCATAACTTGTAAATATTTGAAAAAGTTCCCTTTATTATTATTTATAAGCCAGCAGAATTAATAAATGTGCTTGTGATACGGAATTTAATTCGTAGAAGCAGCAAAAGTGTTATATTTTGATTTATTATGTTAAAATATCAGATATTCAAAATTCTGAATTGTTTACATGACGAATTTCCTTTAACAGATTCATGCTTGCTTTATCTTCAATTATTTTATCAGATGACTATGAAAAATGTCAATAATATGTGCATACTTTTTTTCATATGTTTATCGCAATTGTTTGTTCACTATATTGTTAAATTCTATTGAGTAAAATTTTTGATTTTTGAAGCTGGCAAAAATGAACGATATCTAAATGTTTTATGCATAATTTCCTTATTTGAAAAATGGGTCGAGCTTTATCTTTTCATAAATAAATCGGACATATAATTTGTAGTTTTCATATTCGGGACGTGGGAACAATATAAAATAAACCGAATCCGCTGCTACTCATAGTTGGGAAGATATGTCGGTTGTCTCGAAAAAAGGGTTAGTTTCATCTTTTTTAATATTTTTGTTCGTTATTTTGAAGGAACATATGATAGCGCCATTAGCTGTACTCTTCTGTTACGAAAAATCTCACACTTTTATCTAAATAGAGAATATATATATGTATATATATACTCTTCTGTATAGCTTCGTTGTTTTCTTTTTCTTCAGAAGCCTTTCAATTTCGAGTTTCATTTCAACTTTTGCTTACTGTTCAGGAATGCTAATTCTTCACTGGCTGAGCAGCCCTCCGAACAGTTAGATGACAAAGAGGAAATGCCTTTGAATGATTTTCTGTCGGAACAAGGCACATCGAAACAAGTAAGGAATTTGTTGGTTATTAAGAGTTATTTTAGGAATTAGTAAAATTCTTTAACCATTTTATAAATGTTTAGCATATGTTCAAAAAGTTATTTTATTTGCTAAAAGTTTTTAAGCATAAATGGACTATGTGTGAGGGATTAAAATGTTACTTTGCAATTGTATTGTTACCTTGAAGCTCTAATCGAGGTAAAAAAGTTATATGTTTAGTATAGGCTAAGGAGTTCTTTTCAGGACGACGAAGTAAGCATTAACTGCAATAACACGTCGAGTATTACGACAATGATGCCTCTGAGCCGTAAACGAAATCGTCGTACTTGGACTCTTGTCAGTGGAGATGGTCACGATTTTAGATGCAATGCATGTAAAAAAATTATCAAATGCTGTTCACCTACAAATATAACTAGACATTATGCAAACAATCATCCGGAACTATTGAAAACAGAGGAAATATCAGTCGATATATCGAAAGAGTCGACTGAAGCCATTTTAGAAGTATTTTTTTTACTATATAAGCCAAATACTTTGCAAAAATGGACGAAGTTATATGTGCGTAACACACGTGAAAACATTAAAGAAGAAATATTAATCAATAACAAAATGAATGCATAATTTCTTCTGAATCAAGTCACGATAGAAACTTTAAAATTATTTACTGTTGAGTATTTGAGAAATTTTACATGAAGCCATAAAGGAACAAACCTGGACTTGTAGACTTCTATTTTAGTAGTGAATTTTGAGCAATCCAAAACATTATTTGTTTATTCCAATGAATTGAAGGGCATAAATTTGTTTATAAGTGGGTTATAAATCAGACTAACAAATAATAAATTTGTTGTCATCCAGGTCATCTGGTATAAATCGAATCTAAGAAATTTATCAGAAAATAAAATAAGCATAATATCAGTATGAACTGCAAAATTTATTTCTCTAACTTTAGGAATAGTTTTGGATTATGTTTTTATTTTCAGGAAAATTCCAAAGATGAAATGGTGGCTGCAAATGATATGCGAGTGTCTAGTGGCACCAGAGCAAAGTAAGTTAACATCTCAAGAATGTCTATTATTTGTAATCTTATTTCATTTTTATGCTAAATTTTGCAAATTTCATTTACTCTCACAGCGCACCAAAAAAAATTGAGAATGAGAGAAAGCAAGCTGATATAGATTATTTTCATGAAGGCTGATTGGAAAGTAATTTAAATAAATTTTTTTTTGCTTGTTGATAAAGTACTATTTTTTTAAGAAAAAACCACAAAGGGCGCATTTGTTAGTTTTGATCGGTTTCCCATAAATTCTCTTAAATAGTTTTAATTATCAGGTGACATACCAAATCCATGGCGACAATATTATGCATTGAGTTTTGCATGTAAATACTCTCTCTATCTCACTCGCACCATCTTTGTATTAATAATACAACTTCTAATTCTTTAATGAAATTTAACTTGAATAAAATTTTCGAATCTCCTCTCATGGATCTGCATATATAAATCGATTTATTCTAGAAGCTCATCAATTTTTTTTTTTTCAAAATACATCGAAGCATCAATGATTAATTCATTCATATAAATATGAGGTTATTTATAGTACTGCCAAAATAGATTGGTCTTCTCCATCTATAAAGAAGATTTTGGAAAAAATTGCATCCAGGGAGTTAACGGAAAAAATGGGAACAGATATGATCGCATATAAAACTGGATGTCAACTGTCACAATCAACAGTTCGGAAACGAGTCCATTGTTTACTTGAAGAGAGAGTAAGTTTAATTTTTTATTGTGATTTGTTCATTGTTCAGTATTTTAGGCTAGCTTTTATAGACTTTGCATTTTTTTTTCTAGCTGCAGCTTGTGCCACATATTTCATCCATCAGTAAAATGAAATGGAAAAAAGCTTTGCACTACTTCGGAAGATATATATGAAGCTTAACTTTATTCAGGATTTCCTGCTACCTACCTTTTTTTTTATTTAAAATAAATACAAATAGTATTTCAGTTTGGTACATATTCATTATCGAAAAAAAAAAGTACAGCAATGGTGCAATCTTCGCAAATAAACGATGGAGGAAATGAAAAAGTTGGATATGTAGGTACAAATCGTACTAGCGGTGGTACGAAAAAGTTCGTTAAATTAGAAGACAAGAAGAATCAAAAACAACAATTATCCGATGGGTAAGTTTGTGACACAAAATATTTAAGGAAAATTACTAATGATTAAATTTTAATATTATCATTTGTAGAACTGTGACTACATTTCCTGTGCCGCCAATTCCACGACAAGTTCGTTCTCTACGACTGAGTCGTTCGTCAATAGTAATTCCGGAAAAAGACGATCCATCGAAAGTGAGAATATATCGATGCAGTGCTTACGGACGAGGTAAACAAGGTGCAACATGCTACTACCGATGCTCCAAATGTGACTCCCTTGCAAACAACAAGTTAAAAAATTCCGGTATGTCTTTTTCACTTTTCTTTTACCAATTAACTTTTCAGGTTCTGAACATAGTAAATTCGCTAAATGCTATTTATCTTCGAAATAATCGTATTTTTTTATACAGGTACATCAGCAAGTGAGCGTACAAAGCGTTATTTTGCTCATATTAAAACGAAGGATGGACGAATAATCGGAAATGCCTATCCAGAACACTTGCCAGAATGCAAACCAGTACCAAAGGCAGTTCAACAGCTTCAAGAAATTGATCGCGCTTGTCGGGCAAGGATTCAAGCCGGTAATTTAACACCCGAAGCAGCCAGGAAGCTGGTTGGTTTTTTCTTTTAGTTTTCATTAATTCTGCTCTTTGAAATAAGAACCACAAGTTTGTGAATATTTTGCTAATATATCTGGAAATTGTTAAACGGAATTTACATTTCTGTGCATTCAGGGAGCACTGGTAGCACAGAAAAACCGTGAGTTGAAAAGGCATATCCAGGATGATGATACTTTTCCGGATAAATGGAAATCACTTCCTAAGAAATACAGTCGGTTGTGTCATCAAGCCGAAAGGATGAGAAAGCAAAAGAATCGACAACTTTTAAGGTTTATTAGTTTTTGAAGATTTTTATGCATAATAGAAAGGTCTCTTTCTGCATCATTTTGAACTGGATACCAGCACATTTTTGGGACCACTGTTTAAAGAAGAGTGTATGACTTGAGACACTGAACATCATTTTGCATTTCAGTACTACAATATACGTTTTTATATGCAAAGTTTTCTTTTTTTAATGTTTTATAACAGCAGATAAGGCACTACGAGCAGTAGTTATGTTAAAGAACCGATGCAAACCAATAAGTCTTTTTTTATCATACACAAATACTTGAAATAATAATGCCTCTTCTCTCAGTTCATAAAGTATCTTGCTTCAGAATGATGAACAGTGAACAAGGTGATGGTGAAACCGAAGAAGATCAGAGGTCTATTTTCGCTATTCTCTGAAAAGTTTGATTATCTAAATCAAGCAGTGTGCTATATTCATCACTAAACTCAAAATATGATTAATAAACTTCTCAATGTTACATATAATTACGAGAGTTCCGGATAAAAGTGAGATAAATGATTTTGTACAAATTATAGTGGCATTGCACATGAAGCAGAAATTATGAGCGGGCGTTTCAAGCATCCACCATTAATCATCTTTGAACCAGACGGTCAGGCGGCACGAATTTACCGGATAAATGGAAAATCGGATAAGCTCGGTATAATCTATTATCGATGTTCAAAATGTGATGTTCTTTGCCGAAGACACAGAAGAATGGGAAATGTAGAAGGTTGGATTATTTAACTTTAATAAGATATATGAAATATATCTTTTTATGAATAGCTCTTTGTCACTTCGTATCAGTTATTTCAAGAAAATTGAAAGTCTTCTAAAAAACTAGTGAATCATGTGTCTTTCTAAGTACTTAATTACTTATTTTAATTTGCCCTTTTTGTTACATGAAAACTTTCTCCAGTGTCTTTGCCCAAGACACTGGAGAAAGTTTTCATGTAACAAAAATGTGAGTTGTAAGTTGTTTTCATTAAAACCTAATAGCTCATGTTACGAAGTTTCGTTTTACATTTATCAAAAAATAGCCATATTTAGAAAGTTATGTCAAAATACAGAGATTTTAATAGTTATAATCATTCATAAATATTTGCTATTGGAATTTTTTCATACCCAAAAACTAAATTTTGCATGTCAAGGGATGACTCGAGCAACAGTAAAAGTGGAAGAAGATGAAATTCTTGAGAATATGTATCCTGCGCATCATGAAGAATGCGAAGTTTTTACACTTGATATGGTTAAAAATTTGGCGGAAAATCTTGATCGCTTCTATTTTGCTAAGGATTATGAATCCATTATCCATGATTCTGCTAAAACGGTTTTTTTTTCAATTTTTTCAAACATGCAGTTTATGCGGTTATCTATTGGCTGGGTTACAATAAGTGATAGATAACTGGATTCTTATTCATGGTTCTTCTTATATTTGCCAATATGGGATCAGTAATTTGTGAATGAAGTGTTCCAGGTCTCTTAGTCATTATCTTTAAGCTTTTTTATCATCATCAGTAGTTCCCTAAGTGGAAAAATCTTCTTATAAAAGGTCAAAAATTTCAGGATCTCAGGTTTGCAGATGGTACATTAATTTCAAAAAATCAAATACCTATGGTTAGTCATCCCGCCATTGAGCATGTTGTTGAAGATGACGTAGTGGTGGACATTAGTAATGTTGCCAATACCGAAGAAGTGGATGATGAAACGTGGGAAACAATTCTGAATCAAGATGTATTAAACGTTAGGTAAAAGCAGTTGTTTATTCGACGTTTTCAATTTTCAAGTTTTCTGTAATTTATGGCTTTTATTCTTTTATATCTATGTTTTGTTGAGTAGATTGATTTGGCATTAAAACATACAAAAGTCACATTTGGAATAGTTTTTTATAAACGCAGTCATGTTTCATCAAAAGACTTTGTCGTTGCTTGTGATTCTCATGCTGTTTTATAGGTTCTCACCTAATATTTCAAATTTTGCAGAGCGGAAGATCATGAAGGACCTATAGGTGCTACATGCCAACGCTATTATGAAGCAAACCTTGCATTACGCCGCGATATAATGCGTTGCCTGGAAGAAATGAGAACACTGCGAACAGAAATGAGAAATATGTTGGAGGAAGGGAAATTGCAGTATATGGAAATAGATGATGATCATTACGAAGAAATTATTGTTGATGAAAATTGCTGATAAGAAAAATAATATGATATTTCCGACATGCATTGTATTCGAAAGCCTTGTTCAATACAGATTAACATCCTCTTTTTTCTTTTGTTCTTGACTTCAGATTTCTGAATTTATTTGCTTGCAATGACACCAATATGTATTAGATATAAAGCGGAATTCTATCCTATTGATGAATTTTCCTTTTCTATTTATATGCGGCCGCAATTTTTACTTTATATTGATACCATATGATATAAATGAATTCAGAATATTCAACTTCCAAGATAGCAACAATTTTTTTTACAGTAAATAACATGCTAGCTCTCAAGTGTAAAACTGCAAGACCATAGCACATGGTATCAGTAAAAAGTGTCAAATTTTAAAACAGCAAAATCTTTAAGAAATAAGCTATCATCAGGTGTTCGGGTTATTCGGTCGGTCGGTTGGGGACATTATTATATAAGTATATATACTGCACGTACCGAAATGCCTCATTTAATCGAGCCGCGGCAGTATTGAGAATGTAGAATTTATCTGATGGTAGCATCAAAAATAGCTTAGATATTGATGGATTCTAATTCTTATATAATTATTCACTTAGAAATGATGTATTGCTTTTTTGATTTCATCAGTACTTTTACACTTCCTTTTTCTTTCATTTTATTAATTCTCTTGAAACAAATCTAAAAGGAATAGGTGAGATTAGTATTGCAATGAGTTCGCCCACTATTTCATTATTTTAAAATAGCATAAAACTGGAAATTTTTTTAATTTGTAGTTATAAAACATCTTCGACATATATCGTTTACAAGCTGAAGATAATTACATTGTACTTTGCATAAGTTTGTTTCATTTTTGTGAAAGAAAAGGGAAATAATGAAGTCAGGAATGCAATCATTTCTAAATTCTATGGCTTATTTAAAATAATTGATAGTAATTTAAATTCATTCAATCTGAACTGATTTTGATTACTTTAAAGTATTTATTTGATCTATTTCATTTATTATCATTGTGTTCTTTCTGTTTTTCCTTTTTTTTCACTCTTTTTTCTGGTTGTTTCATCACTAATATGGAAAAATTCTTTAAATTATTTGAGTTAGAAATGATGCAACAAATAAGTGGATTTCATTTTTTACGAAATAGATTAATTGAAGGTTCCATAATATTATTTTACTATTTTTATTATTTAATTGTAAAGAGGGGATAAAAGAGTTTAGGATTTTAGTTTTATGTTAATGTTATTCCTAAATTTTCATTCTCTCTTGTCGTTTTTTAAATTCCTAATTTTATTTCAATTTTTTTACGTTAATAAATATGCTTTTAAGTTTCATGTTTGTGTTCGGCTTCTTTTGTTTTTAGCAACAAATCGATTAATTTTTCTTTTCCTTTTTAAATTTACAAAAAATTATATGCATATATACGCACAATGAAAATGATAAAGTTAAAAAATATTGAGATAAATAATTTATCCCTGAAAAAATGTGGTAGAATGATAAGCTTTAATAGTTTAATATCTTGAAAAAAGAAAGGTAAGAATTTTTAGCTACCGGCTGTCTGTTCGAGCTTATTTGATGCTTTTAAAATTCGTTTCTTTTTCTCTTTTCATTATGCGATATCGGAGTTATAATATTTTCATATAAATTCATTCAAGGCTTATTAATTATCAAAAAAAAAAAACGTTGGTGTCGCGGATTACCTATTTTATCGATTATTTCTATTATGTAATTAATATAACTGTGGAATCATGCGAATTTCCCATCATTTTCCATATTGCGCATCACTTGTTCAAATTTTCTCTTCATATGACATCATTAAGCGTAACAATGCGTGTGCATATTTAAAATTTTTCTGCTTTCCGTTCAAATTAAATGAATTACTTGGAAATTTATATTCTTCATTTTGCAGTATTATGTCAGATCTTCGAGAGTTTGTTAATCAGCAAAAAGCTAAAAATTCATTTTTTGGCACGACTACGACATCAGCATCATTTCCATCAATTAAATCTATACGATCTAAACTTACATCCGGTTTGAATGGATTTTCAATGATGCATTCAGCAGGTGATGATTCTGATCGAGAAATATTGACCGAATCAACTGGCGAAACAAATGGACAGTTGCCACAATCACGAAATCGTAGAAATGGTGGATGGTTCGGTTCTTTTTCCAGCGAAGAGCCTGTTTTTGGGTTTTTTTTTCTTCTTTTTTCTAAATTAAATTCAAATATGCAATGCTAGAATTTTAATAGCTTTGAAACTTTTTGAACATTTACTTTCAATTCAAATTTCATCTTAAGTTTCACGATATTGTAAACTTAGTAATTTAAATGGCGAAAAAATTTTTTCGAATTCATAGCTTGTTCTAAAATTGTTGTAACATTTGCAGTTCAAAAGTTTACCACTAGTAATGAAGAACTTACTTATTTAGTCTTCGTTAAAAAACATTATCTTTTGAGAATAATTACTGTAAAATCTTGATGATAGCATTAAGAAATTATTTTAAATGAAGAATGTCATTGTTGTAGAATGTCGAAGATGCAGAGGATTGTTGCATTTTTCTTGTCAATAGGAGCAGCTTTTGTTTGCTTCGGAATAGTGAGTTTTTGGTTTCCGATAGATCTCAAAGAATAAAATATTGAGGGTCATCTGATATTTATGATAATACTGTGTTATAGTTTAATATGACGTAAGAAAATACGTCATATTAAACTATAACACAGTATTATCGAAATAAATTTGAATTTCTGATTTTAAGATACTCTTTAAATTTCGTAATTGCGTCGCATTCATGAGGAATGGAAAATGACCGGTTAAGTAGGTATCTTTTTCCTTTAAATTATAAAATAAGCATTTTCAGGCTGTCGTTTTGCTACCTGCTATAGTTATACAAGCTCGAAAATTTGCAGCATTGAATACACTTGGTTCGATTATGTTGATTTTGAGGTTTGTCAATTCATTTATTTCTTCTTTTTTTCCCTTAAATTTTTATTTTTTGTGTCAACTGACATAGTTATATTTTTCACTTAATATTTTTAGATAAATAAAATAATATACAATGAATAAATATTGAAAAAAAGAAAAAAAACTCTTCCTTGTTCACTTTTCTCTCATCTTTTCCTTCTATTCTCACTTCTGCGTCCGTGATTGGAAAAGTTTTATTTTTATGATGACATTTGAAGAAATTATCACAAATTATAAAACTCGCTTTATCTAATTAAAAAACTTAATCTAATTGTAAAAAATTCAAAATTTTTATTAGTATCTTTTTTTCAAATGATGTTATAAATTTTGAAAATTTCTTTTAGTTTTGGTTTTTTATGGGGACCAATAAGCTATTTGAAACATATGTTCTCAGAACAACGGAGGCATGTTACGGCATCTTATTTGATAACCGTTATAGCGACATTATATTTCAGTTTATGGGTACGTTTCTGTTTTTTTTTTTTAAATATCATCAATCCTAAAAAAAATTTTTTTTTCAAATTTTATAACATCATTTGATGATAGCCGCCTTTATAGATGCTGCAACTTATCACTAACAAGTTTTAGCATTTATAAATCACTAATAAGTTGTTTTTTTTTTAAAGATCATCAATCCTGTGTCTGTATTATGTTAGGTTGTATATATATCTTATTAGTGATAAGTTGTAGTATCTATAAAGGCTATCTTAATGTCATATTGTTACCGAAAAAATGAAGATTGAATCAGAGGTCCAACAAATTATTACCGGACAAAATGGCTTACAATCTAGTATATTTACCAATATTTATTGTCCCTTAGAAATTATACGATATATTAAGAATACTTATGTTAAGTCGGTTATTTTAGGATTTTCAGGATTTATACTTCGTCCTCTCATCAAGTTGGATTAACCATAAAAATGTGGTTTTAGGTGCTTCACTTTAGGCTAAAGAAGTAGATCTTGAAAATGATCTAATTTCAGTTAATTAATTTCTTTTTACTGCTAAGAACTTTTGAGCTTGCCTTAGATAATCAATTAAATGTTTCTTCAAGATACTACTCAGAATGTTAAAACGTCTATTTTGCTCAAGTTTTAAATTTGAATAATCATTTGGAGTAGTTGTTTTAAACTGAGAAAACCAAAATGAAGAAAAAAACTCCAATATATATTATCATTTTGCATTTCTTTAATTACGTTTTGAAAAACGACAATTTTTGGATATTTCTTAAAATACTATTCTTTTCGGTGTTATATTTTTTGAAGCTATAAATACCACTGAGATTATACAATCTTTCCTTGTACTATTTCTTGCAATTATACAAGGTTTTTATTTGCATACTGATGGTGCGTTTTTTCTTATTTTTTTGAAAACAGTTTTGCTATTCTGCAATTCCATTTGTTCCTTCAAAATTGTGAGTGATTGTTACTTTCAAATTTGGAAATGCGTCAAAATACGACTTGATTACTAGCTACTTACAGCATAACTGAAGAAAACAATTAAAATTATTATATTTATCATAAAGTTTGACAGATATTCGATAAAAGTAAAAGAAAGAAGAAAGGAAAACTTTTAGATTGTTAGATTTTACAGTTAGGATTTTTGAATTTAAAATTCTTTCATTTATTTTTTCTCTCGTTTTGTTCCCTTTTCACTTCTGCTTCCATAGTTAGAAAAATTTTAGTTTATTTTTGTGGTGACATGTCAGGGAAGTTATAACAAATTATAAAATGGAGAAAATTCATCAATCATTATCTATCACTTTTGCTCGGTTTAATCAATTACTTTCATAGATTTTTCTTGAATTTTTCTGAGTCGACAAAAGAAAGGATCAACTATAATTGTCAAATATTTTTTGCTTTTTTTTTGACTAATGTCATGTTAGAAATTGTGGAATGGATCATTTGTCCATGATGAAAACATATAGGTGATTTTATCAGTAATCAATGCTTCAAAATTGATAAATAAATAACATCTTTGATCACTGCTTCATTGTTTTTTATAAATCATTTATTCTTTAATTTTTTTTTACACGTGTCCCTTTAGCAAGCAATAATTTGAAAACTGAACTAAGCATAAATTTCATTTTTTGAAAAGTAGAGATTAAGCGATAACTTTGATATGTATAAATGATATTAAATACAGATTAATGACAGATTCATTTTACTACTGATTAAATCAATTTTTTTTTATAAACTTTTTTTTAAAATATCATCACCAAGCTGATTGATTGTTTATTTCACTCGGATTCCAATATAATTCATAAAAGACTAAACCATACCAATGAGAAGCTAAGCTGTCATCATTTTCACGAATTCTTCATAATTGATCTGCAAAATTTTGCTAAATATATATATTAATATTAACTTATAAAAATTAGAAACTATTAGTTTATGCTTATTAGATTAGCATTTGATTCAATAAATTATCAGTGTTATCCATCCATCAATGACAGTATCCTTCATCTTATTAATACTTCATAATAAATCTAACCTGTCCGTCACCATCAATATCAACTTCAGCCATAATTTCATCTACTTCTTGATCACTGAATTGTTCACCCATATGAGTCATAAAGTATCGAAATTCGTCAGCTGTAATATATCCATTACCATCTCGATCGAATACCCGAAATGCTTCCCTTATCATTTCACTGTCATTTTCCTTCAAATGGAAAAAATAGTAGTAAAATAATGAATAGGAAATCATTAACATGTACTATCTCGTTTAAAATAACGTCTAAGAAAATTTAGAAAAAATTAAAATATTTCCACGAAATGATAACTTTTTGAAAATTATCATGTCTTTCAGGAATTTTTTTTTCACTTTATTGCTTGACTGAGATTAATTCTTTGGATTGTAGCAGAAAATTATCGAATTATCAGTGTTGATTTTTTCTCTTTAAATTTTAGAAATATTTTTATTGTCATTATTTCAAATAAAGAAACAAATAAAGAGCATTAAAAAAAAAAAAAAAAGAGGACAAATGATCAATAATAAACAACGAATGGCTGGGAGAATGCAATTGAAGTTTAATTAAATTAACAAAGATTTAAATGTATACTTTCAGCACTCGTTTTGGTACCTTTTTCCCATTCTATTAGTAATGTTAACAGCTATCAAAATGGTAGAAAATAATCGCTTATAGCTGCTAACCTTACTCATTCGTTTCATCATTTGACAGAATTCGGGAAAATCAATAGTACCACTACCATCAATATCCACTTCATTGACCATATCTAATAATTCCTGTTCTGTTGGATTTTGTCCAAGTGATCGCATCGCAACGCCAAGCTCTTTTGATGATATTGATCCATTCCCGTCCTTCAAGCTCAGATAAATATCTTTGAACTTTCCTCTCTAAGATGCTTTTAAGAACAACGGTACGGCGCTATACTCTTCACACGATAATAGTATATTCTTCAATTATCTGACGTCTATATTACGTTACACGTATAAATTGGCATTTCTTTCAGCCAAAATAAATTTCTTCACAAGAATTTCGGAGATTGTATTTGTTTCTTATTCTCTTTTTTTTTTGTTGCTGTTAAACATTGCTAGAAATTAGTCATTTCTTGTAAAAATTACAAAAAAAAAATTCTTCTGATCTTTTTTCCCTTTTTAAATTAAAAAAAATTCTGTTTTTTTTTTTTTGTTGAAATGCATCAATAACTTTTAGTTATTGATGAGAATGTTGGTTAAATGACGGATATAATTTTGTCTATCAATCATTCATCTTTTATTTATGCAATCATTGTTCGTAATTTATTACGAGCACATTTCAATTTGTGCTTGACGTGATGATTTGTACAGTGATAGTTTAGTTGAGAAAGTAAGTAATTTTTCAATTATTATTGAGTTATAGGAAATATAGAGATAATGTAAAAAGTCAATTAAATTTAAATTTATTGCAACTGTGGAATGATTAAACAAAATTTGTTATAATTATATTACATGGATCTGAGAAATCATACGAAATACTGCTTTGTTATGTAAAAAACTATAAATAAAAGATGAAAAACTGAAATTTAGATATTTTAGTTTTGAATATTTTTATTTTAGGATAGCATGATAATTCTTCCAATTTATTGCTTGGTCATTTTTTATGTGATTTTTTCGTCTGACAGTATAAAATTAATATTAGGATGACTTGTAATATTTTAAGAAATGAATGAAAAAAAAAGAGGACAGTGCTTACTTTGTCAAAAAGATGGAATGCCTCTTTATATTCGATCATTTCTTCCTCCGTTATACCTTCAAATTCTTCATTTTTATTTTGCTGTTTCCAACGGTTGAACAACGATGATCGACGTCTACTGCTCATTGTGATATCGTTTCACCTGTTGTAGTATGCTAAAACAATTACGTCATATAGCGCCATTTACACAAAGAATTTACGATTCTGATCGATATAACAACTGTAATTGAATGACGTGAATAACCAGAAAGTTACAAAAGCAAATCTTCAAGCATATACTTAAGTTGTGCAATACAGAGCAGTAAGAAAATTTGGGCGTAGACTAACTGTAGTGGGAGAAATATAAAAATTTTTAGGATCAACAATGATGAAAGTATAATTTATTTTAATTTAAATTCAACTTGGATACAAGATATGAAATATTTTTTTTATTCCTGAATTTAAAAAAAAAAAAAAGAATTTAAAAAGTTGATGTTAGCAATTTTCATTGATTTCTAGCTAGATTTCATAAAAAAGAAAACGAAAGGGAACTTATGTAACAGGAAGTTTTATTCATTGTTAACATAACCAAATAAGATTTGATTTTATTTCTCATTTTTCGTTTTCCTACAATTATTGATTTCATTTGCAAATTATTTTTTCGCCCCATTCCCTGGAATGTTATAATAACGATCTTTTGCAATAGCAAATAGCCAGCTTTTTAACAAACTGATACAGCTATGAATTAATGAATTAGAATAAGAATTAATAATGAATAAGTGAAACAGTGTGCAGTATTGAATAGACGATAGCAATTATAGAAGTTCATCTCAACATATGATTATTAATTAGTATAGTGACTTGTTTCTTTTTTTTTTCCTTTGACGATAAATTGAAACTTTATAATTACTGAGAAACATTTTAGATCGATCAATAATTGCATACTTTAATATATGCCTTTCTTAAGATTGTTCTATTACTGCGAATGAATTTGGATCGGTCAATAATTGCATTTTTTCTTGGTTTTATTTTTCTTTTCTAAAATCCTTTTCTAATTCCATAGACACTGAAAAGTAAAGACATTTTATTTTTTGTTTTTGATTTAAAAAGGAAAATATAACCATGGAAAATAATAACATGTCTTATCAAATTCAATCATTAAAAGAAGAACTGCTAATCAATAAGACAATAATATGAAGACAACGATGATTTTTAGAATTTATTTACGAATACCTGGTAAAAGCTTGAACTTGTTAAGGAATAAATTAAGCTAAGGCTTTGTAAAATTCAAATTAAGGGATTATTTTCAGTATTCGTATGGTCGTATTCATCGATAAATTTCGATTTGAGAAAAAGGAAATTTAAAAAATTACAAAAACCGAATATTTCAATACAACGGCAAGAGGTTTCATCAATAAAATAACTTTATTCGTGCCTATATGAAAGTTTGTTTCATTGTAAACTCAATATGCAAGAAATTTTCGTTTGAAATTTTTAAAAATTTTTATGGGTTGATGATTGGAAGTAATTTTATATAAAAATCATCTATAATAAACTATTGTATAGTTATACTCCTCTGAAAAATGTTACGAAATAGAAATTTGTAAAAATTAATTTATATCCTATAAATATAATTACTAAAACAAACTATAGCTTAGTTATATGGTTAACTGACTAAATTTTAATTGTTCTTAATAATAATAGGTATTTTTAATAAAATACAAAAATTTTTAAAAAATGTTATAGAAAAAGAAAAGAAACAAATTATA